TTTGATGAAGTGGGGCGCTTTTGAGGGCCAACTTTTGATGGCACGTCTTTTTATGGATTGGGCACGCATTTTGATGCACGCTTTTTATTGGATTTGGCACGTTTTTGATGGCACCCTTTTTTGAGGATTGCACACCTTTTGAGGGTGCGACTTTTTAAGGGTCCGACAAGACTTCTGTAAACTGTCCCGACATTGATTCCGGTTAGCTCCTTCATGGGGTCCGACAAGACTCTGTAAAACTGTCCGACATTGATTCCGGTTAGCTCCTTTCATGGGTCCGATCAAGACTCGTAAACTGTCCCGAATTGATTCCGGTTAGTCCTTCAGGGTCCGACAAGACTTGTAAACTGTCCGACATTGATCCGGTTAGTTTTCTACAAGGTCCGACAAGACTCTCGTAAACTGTCACCGACATTGATCCGGTTAGTTCTACAAGGGTCCGAAGATCCGAATTACAACTGTCACAACATTGTCTCTACAACGGTCCGACATGACCCCATAAAACTGTCTTCTAATCGATCTGCCCATCAGGTCTAACCGATGCTACATCAGTGTCTCTACATGGTTATACACTCCCATACAGTGTCCTCTTACAACTTCTTATTGACACCACCATCAGTGTCTTCACCAATGGTCTGACACGACCATTACATGTCTCTTATCCTCTTTTTATTTTTTATGTATTTTCTTGTTTTGTTACTCTCTTCCAAACTCAAGTTGGTTAGTTTCCATTCCCCCTTGAGTTTGCGGGGGGCTTGTAAATCCACCTACTCTCCACCTACTTCACCCACTTAAACCTACCTCACTAAACCTAACCCACTACACCACTACCACCTCACCTACTCCACTAAACCTAACCCACTACACCACTACCACCTCCACTTCACCTACTCCTTACCTATACTCACACTCACCCTCTTCTATATATAGGAATCATGAATCATTGTAATAGATATCAATATAAATCAATCAATAATACATTCTCTATTTCTCTTTATACATTAAATTTCTTACAAAAAAACAGAGCAAAGGTTAAAAAAAAAATAATTTTTACCGAGCGAAATCAATTGGTCTCGCCATAACAAACGATACTGTTTTGAAATGGTAATTTAAATTAAGTTGAAGCACAGTGACGACCAACGGTTGGTAGGGAAAAAATGCCCTTATAACAGCCAGGTGAAATTTTCAAACTCTTATACAGTTATATACCGCGAACCCACTCCCGCTCACCACTCCTCACACGCACCTCATCGTTGCATTCTCCTGCTCCATTTGCAGTTCACCAAAGTCGCTCCTCCTTCATCATCGCAGTCGCATGTTGTGGCTTCTTCGACCAAGCATCAGTGGCGCTTCAAGAAGTACTTGGGCCTCCATTGTTAGGTATGCATGTTATCTCTGTTTCTCTTCTCTCTCTCTTCTCTCTCTCTCTCTCTCTCTTCTAATCATTTGTATACTCACATGGTTGCTCTCTTATTTTCGCACCTAAAGCACCACCGTCACCATTTTTCTGTACTACCCAGTTCGCCTATCTTCAAACACCTGAGATCAAGTACGGGTCCTTCTCTTCTCTGTCGCTCAATTCTCTATTTTCCTTTGTTTTCCCTAATTTTCACAACCATTTTTTGTTTTCCCTAATTTTCAAAACCCTTAATGAGTGAATGTTTTGAAGGGATGGCCTCAATCATAGTGCGTGGCTTTGGTTAGTCAATCATATATTTAATTAAAATTATTAATTCTTGTTCGAAATCAATTCTTTACGCAAAATCCCTCTTCAGTCTATCAATTATTTGTTTATTCTAATGGGTCCATAAACGAGGGTTCGAATCCAAACTCCATGCATTTATAAATTTACCAATGCGAATAACCATAAAATAAAATAGGAACATCTGAGTCTCTGAGTGGTGGGGTCCGTGAGCCACGTGATGACTAAGTAGGGACGCGGTCAGTGCTTAGTGCTGGAGATGAGG